AAAAAAAAAAAAAAAAGAAGAAGAAGAAGAAGTTGGTTTATGCAATATATCAATTTCACAAGTTTTTGCCGGGTGTGGCCCTTGTAAACCCATGAAAAAGTTGTAAAATAGGCGCACGGCCTGGATAACAAATCCGAAAGGCAAAAATTAGCCAAACTGAAAGTTGGAAATCCAGATTCATTGTTTCGCTGGTGCAGTTCAGACACTGACATAAAACTTTAACCGTCTTAAAAGGCAGATTTACCAAATTTTAGCAGTGTTGTTATGAAAACTGCAGGACTCTTGGCACATAACGACCGTCCAATGCACTAAGAGAGTTGACCATGGCGTAATCTCAGTAGCTCAAGGCCTTGTCCCTGGTTTGCCCCAGTCAAAATTCCTGAAAAATCTCAGCAGCAGGAGGATTTACTTTTTGTTCTAGCCAAAACCCGGCGACTGGCAGATAGGTTTTTGAACCCCTATTTTTGCTTAAGTGCAAGTTACCTTAGAACCCTTACAATTGTAAATGTTTTCTCTACCCTTTGAGATATGTCTACCACCTAACAGTTTCCTTTCCTCAAGACTTGATTGGGGAGATAACTCATCCCAGGCCTAAACCCAGTGGCATGTGATTGCTTTGCTATCATAAAGATAACAGAAGTTTGTCCTGTAAATAAGCTCCAATTAACAAACAGATGGCCTAGTCACATCACCACCCTACCCCACCTCACTTCTTAAAATCCTTCACTACTTTTCCCCTAACATATCTCATCTTTTAAAAAGTCACCAGCCTTTTGGAAGAAGTGCAGAGGAGGTATGTCAAAAAAGGCTTTTCTGAGGAGGCCATAGTTGAAGAGAGATCTAAGGAGGTGAAGCTGCCAGCCATTGGAAAGTCTGGGAAAGAACCCTAAGGGCAGAGAAGACTATAAATTGAAAAAAGCTCTGAGGTAGGAAAGAAATAATCAGAATAATCAAGAAACAGAAAAGGTGGGCAACACCTGTGGCTCAGAGGAGTGGGGCACTAGCCCCATGTACCAGATGTGGTGGGTTCAAACCTGGCCCCCGCCAAAAACTACAAAACATAAAAAAGAAACAGAAAAGCCAATGTACTAAAGCATAGTAATCCAGGGATGTAATAATCTGCAGTGAGGCCACTGTGGTGGATACTACTGGCTGCTTCCCAATATCCATGCCTTGTTTCTTCCATGTTGCATGTAGAAATATATCTAGTTTTAAATTTTGCCTCCCTATACTAAAAAGGTCATATGGCCCTTTATGGTCAATGAGATGTACCTGAAAGTCTATTGTGTGGGCCCTCTGGGAAGGGTGCTGTGTTCCTCCTGAAAATGAATTGGCTCCTTTTGCAGGCACCTTTCATCCTTTGCCTTTTTTGCCCCCTGTGTTTGTAATTGGAGCTTATCCACAGGAGAAACTTCTGTTCCTGAAGGAGGAGCAGCTGTCTTGAGACCATTATGACAAGAGCCACACAGGATGGATGGCAGAATAGGGAACTTAACACCACTGACACTAAGTCTTTTATGGTTTCCTCAAGTAACCAGCTCTGGACTAAGGAGGAAAATAAACTTTATCTTGCTAAATGGCTATGATTGCATTTACTTTATGTAAAAATCCTGGCCCAAGAGCCAAATACGTAAGATCCTACAGACCACGGTGAGAAGTTAGGTGTTATCCCAAGTGCAATGAGAAGCCATTAAAACTCCACCAAACTTATTCTTCACAACATAGAGAAATGGGTGCTATAAAAGTGGGAACTGGATAAACAGCAGAATTAGGGTGGGAAATCAGGTTACTGGATTTTTTTTTTCTTTTTTTTTTTGAGACTGCATCTCACTGCGTTGCCCTGGGTAGAGTGCCGATGCATTATCATAGCTCACAGCAACCTGAATCTTTCCGACTCAGGCAATCCTCTTGCCTCACTCACCCCAGTTAGCTGGGACTACAGGTGCCTGCCACAATGCCTGGCTAGTTTATCTATTTGTAGTAGAGACAGAATCTGCCTCTTACTCAGGATGGTCACAAACTCCTTAGGTCGTCATCCACCCACATGGGCCTCCCAAAGTGCTAGGATTATAGGCGTGAACAGCTGAACCCAACCTGGTTATTGGATTCTTAATCTTTGCTTCCACTACTGACATCTGCCTCTTTTTTCTCATAATTCCCTACACCAGAAGCAGCTTCCTTCCCCCTCTGTCTTACTGCAAGGATTTTCTTCACATCTTACATGTTTTTTCAGTTAGGAAAATCCTTCACACTCACCAGTCCTGCTTCTTGATAAATTAATATATGCTGAAGGAATTTTTTAAAACCCTTTCTCACTTGACAAAGCCTGGCTTTCAAGATTAATGCTGTTCTGAAGACTCTAAAATCCTATTTGACAGTCATTTCTTTGTTCTAATTCCTATCTATACTACCCCCTCCCTCCCGCCTGAAACACTGAACTCATTATTTCAAGGGATGGACTGCCTCAGGGCAATAAGATATCAGAATATAAAAAACATCAAAAAATATTTCATGAGCAAGAGAATAGCCTAAGCCCAGGAGTTGGAGGTTGCTGTGAGCTGTGACGCCACAGCACGATAAAAGGCGATAAAGTAAAACACTGTCTCTTTAAAAAAAAAAAAAAAAACTATTTAAAATTTTTTTTTCAAAAATACTATCCCCATAGTATGTTTCATTTTGGCCATGCAATTTGGGTAAATTGTTTGACGTCACTATTTCTGCTTCCTCCCCTGTATAATGCAGAGATACAGTCCTCAACACCATAGAGCTCTGAGAACTAAAGATAACTTTTGTAAAACGTCAACAAAAATTGTTTTAACTTATTTTTAGGCATTTATAATATGGCACTTACCATTTGCTACACACTTGACTCATATTACCATATTTAATATTGACAGTAACTTCAGGAATGCTGGTGTGATTGTCTCTATTTTAGAGATGAAGATAGAGACTCAGAAGAGTTACATAACATCAACAGGATCACACAGCCTATCTAAAAAATTATAAAGCCGTGTGTATTAGCTCTCTATAGCTGCTGTAACAAATTACCATACATTGGTAGTTTAAAACAACAGAAATATGTTTTCTCACAGTTCTGGAGACCAGAGTTTCACAACTGCTTTCACTGTGCCAAAGTCAAGGTGTCAGCAGGACCAGACTCTCACTGGAGGCTCCAGGGGAAAATCCATTCTTTGTCTCTTCTAGTTTCTAGTAGCTCATTCATGGCTTAGGGTCACATCACTCCAATCTCTGCTTCTGTGATCATATTGCCTTTTCCTTTTCTGTCCGAGTCACATCTCCCTTTCCCTCTCTTTCATAAAGATGTTTAAGGTTTCATTTAGTGCTCACCTAGATAATCGAGAATAATCCACCACCTCAAAATGCTTAATTACATCTGCAAAGACCCTTTTTCCATGTTAGGTAACACGGATTCCAGGGATTAGGACCTAATATCTTTGGGAATCATTTATTCAGTTCACTATAGCAGGATTCAAATATAGGTCTGAATGACTATACAGTTAAATTCCCAACCACGCATTTGTTCACTAAATATTTATTAAACACCCAACATATGGCAGGTACTGTGGATACAGTGGTGAGCAAAGAAGTTATTGATGGTTGGTTTGGCTTTGTGAACCTACAAGCTAGCTGGCAAGATAGACATTGGTAAAAAATAATAGCACAGATAAATTTCAAATTGCAACACTGGTACATGGTGCTCTAAGAATTTAAGATAGGAAGATTTAGGCCAGGGTTGGTACCTCCTACCTGTAATCCTAGCACTCTGGCAGGCCAAGGCAGGGTGGATTGCTTGAGCTCAGGAGTAGGCAGGGTGGATTGCTTGAGCTCAGGAGTTTGAGACTAGCCTAAGCAAGAGTGAGACCCCCATCTCTAAAAATAGCTGGGTGAAAAACTAAAGATAAAAACTAACCAAGTATTGTGGCCTGTAGTCCCAGCTACTCAGGAGGCTGAGGCAAGAGGATCATTTATGCCCAAGAGTTTGAGGTTGCTATGAGCCATGACACCATGACACTCTACCCAAGGTGACAAAGTGAAACTGTGTCTTAAAAAAAAAAAAGAAAGATAGGGAGATTTCATCAAGTATGAGAAAACCCAACGCAGGGATTAACACGAGATCTGAAGGAAGAATAGGAATCAGTGGACATAAAATAGAGAGCAAGGAAAAACCTTTATGCAGTTCTGCTGGAAGGTGATCTGACAAATAAGTGCTCCGAAAACCAAGTTCCCTCTTCCCACTTTCTTTCAGGAATCTACTAGTGCAGCAGCTACACAGTTATTCGAACAGCTAATGAACCACCACCATGGGGCTGTATAGAGCTGCCCAGGTTTCCTGAGTCTTCCCAATGCTAGGCCACACGCTCTCAACATCTGTCTTCACACATCATG